ATGTCATCCAGCATGTCATCACATTTCATGTCTCTTTAGGCCTGTGTCACATTTATAAAGAAAAATTGAGGAAGTGATGATATGAAGGATAGCTGCAAACAGTTGCATGAATACGACTCAAGATCATTAAGTGATTTACCTATCCTCCTGGCTCCTGCATTAACAGATGAAATAAATAATGGCAGAGTAGAGGAAACATAATACTGCTCTGTCTGGAAACATGAGCGTATCTTAGAGAGTGACAGAATTAGGGGGCAGTGAGGGAGAAGGGATGATCATTGTACAAGTGACAGGCAACTCAATTGTCCATATCCATCACTAAGCACCTCTCTTGTGTGTCATCCATTTAATGTGCACACAAACCACCCCCCTGACATAAACATGAAGAAGTGCCATAGATAGAAAGGGTATGTACGAGTTCTACAGACAGATGGTTGTTTAGTTTGATGGTAGAACCAGGATGATGTTCTACAGACAGATGGTTGTTTAGTTTGATGGTAGAACCAGGATGATGTTCTACAGACAGATGGTTGTTTAGTTTTGATGGTAGAACCAGGATGATGTTCTACAGACAGATGGTTGTTTAGTTTGATGGTAGAACCAGGATGATGTTCTACAGACAGATGGTTGTTTAGTTTGATGGTAGAACCAGGATGATGTTCTACAGACAGATGGTTGTTTAGTTTGATGGTAGAACCAGGATGATGTTCTACAGACAGAAGGCTGTTTAGTTTGATGGTAGAACCAGGATGATGTTCTACAGACAGATGGTTGTTTAGTTTGATGGTAGAACCAGGATGATGTTCTACAGACAGATGGTTGTTTAGTTTGATGGTAGAACCAGGATGATGTTCTACAGACAGAAGGCTGTTTAGTTTGATGGTAGAACCAGGATGATGTTCTACAGACAGAAGGCTGTTTAGTTTGATGGTAGAACCAGGATGATGTTCTACAGACAGAAGGCTGTTTAGTTTGATGGTAGAACCAGGATGATGGTTCTACAGACAGAAGGCTGTTTAGTTTGATGGTAGAACCAGGATGATGTTCTACAGACAGATGGTTGTTTAGTTTGATGGTAGAACCAGGATGATGTTATACAGACAGAAGGCTGTTTAGTTTGATGGTAGAACCAGGATGATGTTCTACAGACAGATGGTTGTTTAGTTTGATGGTAGAACCAGGATGATGTTCTACAGACAGAAGGCTGTTTAGTTTGATGGTAGAACCAGGATGATGTTCTACAGACAGAAGGCTGTTTAGTTTGATGGTAGAACTAGGATGATGTTCTACAGACAGAAGGCTGTTTAGTTTGATGGTAGAACCAGGATGATGTTCTACAGACAGAAGGCTGTTTAGTTTGATGGTAGAACCAGGATGATGTTCTACAGACAGAAGGCTGTTTAGTTTGATGGTAGAACCAGGATGATGTTCTACAGACAGAAGGCTGTTTAGTTTGATGGTAGAACCAGGATGATGTTCTACAGACAGAAGGCTGTTTAGTTTGATGGTAGAACCAGGATGATGTTCTACAGACAGAAGGCTGTTTAGTTTGATGGTAGAACCAGGATGATGTTCTGTCTGTCCTTGATTTCCCCTGCATCACATTACCTCTAGCCTACCTAGCATTATGCCAGGACAAATATCTCACTTGTTCTTTGTCTGTGTAACACCATCTCTTAAATCCAACACTTAGAGGTAGATATGTAACCAGCGACTATTCTTCTCGTTCCCATCTTATCTGCTCAGCAGTAGACGGGGGACATGAACGGTATCTCACGCCTTTGATTGAGTCCACGGTGAAGCAATCCGAGGAGATATTCGTAGTGCAGAACAGGATGCAGCAACGCGTTTGAGGTGAACCAATGCAGTGAAAACTTATCACCTATCCCATCTCGACCTGCTGTCTGCTTCGCACGTCATCTCGGTCGTCTCCTATCTGACATCCCCTCTCAATCTCGAGAGGTCAAGCATCTCATCGAAAATCTCTTGATCTACTCTCAAACAAGAGAACCTTCTACGAGTTTGTTCTCAGGCAACTACCATCTAACAAAAATCAGTAACTCTGGGGCATATCATATCTCAATCTCTCAAGCGACCTGCTCTCTCTCTCTCTCTCTCTTCTCTCTCTCTCTCTCTCTCATCTCTCCTCTACTCTCATCTCCGGTCTCTCTCTCCGTCTGCTCTTCTCTCTTCGGTCTCTCTCTCTCTCTCTCTCTCTCTCTCTCTCTGCTCTCTCTCTAAGACAAGGTCCAAGTCTGCTATTCAAGGGTAACTTTCTTGTATTTGTGAACTTGGGTAATTGGAAATGAATTGAATTGCTATCGGTCTTCTATACTACTGTATATTAAAACATGAAATATCAATTTCAATGTAAACTTTATTTACCATCTTAAAAGCAGCCACTATTCTGGCTGATCCGTTTTTTTTGTAAACAAGAAGTGAATACCCTATGATAAAACATGTTTTTGTATAGGGTAGCCTTTAAATAAGTATTGGGGCAAGTTGATAGTGGGGTACCCTCTCAGTTGTGTGCCCTACCTTACGTCCTGCAGTGTCCCGTATGTGCATTTGCAAACTCTGCCTTGCTCGCCCCAACAGCCCGCCTCCAAGCGGACCACAATGATTTAGAAGTTCAGGAATCCCACATGACGTCACCGAGGGGTGACGTAATGCTTCTCTAAATAGAACGTATTGTAATCTTTTCTCAGTCCAACGTGGTTCCTTCTGAGAGACTGCTGCATATTTTCTACACTTGTTTGGTAAGTTAAAATAATTGCATTCCACTACAGTAAATTATAAACTTGCAATTATAGATTGTTAATTTCGTTTCGTACAGTTGCGTTGTTATTTATTTTCACTTCGGTTGATGTGACAAGTTGCTCAGAGAATCGCATCGACTGAATGCTGCGGCGTTCTGTAGATTTGTTTGATTTAATATTATTGTCTGTTGTCTCGTGCATATTGTATTATGAGCAGAATTGTGTTTATGTCCGTTATTTCTTCGTATAGTAGCAGGATTGCCATCTCAGTGCAATACTTAGAAGTCTCAGGACGCGCGTGGACTGACTGTTGAATGTTGTTGAAGTTGAGCACGGAAATGTCAAGTGATGCTCGCTGCTCGCGAGCTGTCAGTGCCGTACGGTAATAGTAATTTACCCGACAAACTGTATGTGTGAGTAGGTTACCTATGGGTAGGTATCGAGCGATGTGTCAGTGCAGGGTAGCCTATGGTGCGCAATTACTAAAGACAATATTTGGAGGAATTAGTTCGCAATGGTTATCAACTGCAAATACTGACACAGCGTGGACTAACCTATAGGAGTCGACTTAGCCATTTTTTGTAGAGCTTTACAAAGTAATCTTTTTAATGATTCTCAAGTTTGCAGAATTTTGCATCATTGTTCCCCTGTCCCATCCATGGATGGATGCAGCCCACGTCTAGATGTTGTCCTGTGCAGTTTACGAACGGTCACGTCTTCGACAACGGTAAAAGTAGCTAAAGAGGAGCTGTCATTCCATCCATAATACCAATACATGTTTATGATACTGTGGTAGCCTATAATACTGTTCACATTACATTTTGAAGAGGAATCTAACCGAAACATTACGTCATTCTGCAAGCCAGCAGTCGCTATTTGATTAACCGGCGCCGAGCTATTGAAGGTTTCAGAGGGGTTCTGCTGACGGGGCACACTTGACTTTAAGTGCCTGCGGCTGAAAAATATGTTTTAATCTTATGATTAGATTGTCATTGAGTTTAAATGATGGCGAACCAATCTCCATTTATCAGTTTCCAGTTTTATTTTTAATTGTAGCCTATATCTATCAAACAATCTCTCTCTGTAAGTTTACTGTGGTGCCTCCCTTCTGCAATTACTATTCACTAATGATGAAGATGATGATGATGATAATGTTAATGTTAATAACTAAAATTATTGTGTTAGTGGTTTAACTAAATATGATTCATGTGCAACATTATAATATCTGATGATGAATCCATCTTCATAAATAAAATAGAAACTCACATTAAATAGCCTAAATTAAATAGAACATTACCAAAATTATTTGAGGCATATAACTTTAAAAAAAAAAAAATCGTTATAAGACTACTAGAAGTTAGGGAAAGAGAGTGTACTGGAATTAAGGCCTACTGAAAATAACTGGTCTGACTGATGGAGGTACGACTGAAAAAAGTTCATTGTTATTGACAGAATAATAATTATTATAGTGGGTAAAATAAAAATACATCTAACACAAGACAGAGGTAGACTGAAGTATACTTCTTAAAAATGTGTTTATTTATAATTTAATTATTATATATGAAGATATTAATCAAATATGTCACTATAGATAAGCTACCATGATCATACACATTGGTATAAAATAATTAGCACAGTAACACAGAATAAAGAATTTACTTAATCAACTAACTAAGTTAACTTCATCAATTAAGTTAAGTGAATACAACAGGTATACATCACTGTTTGTGTGCATTTGACCAGCTGTAAATTTGAGCACTTTCCAGGTTATGATTTTGAGTCTATTCGACCAGGTATAGATTAGGATGTGATGTTATAATAATCCTCATGGTTTTACATATTATACTTTGGGTTTGTTAGGGTCCCGTGTGGCTCAGTTGGTAGAGCATGGCGCTTGCAACGCCAGGGTTGTGGGTTCGATTCACACCGGGGACCAATATAGGGAAAAAGTACAAAAATGTATCCACTTACTGTACGGTAAGTCACTCTGGATAAGAGCGTCTGCTAAATGACAAAAGGTTTGAACTGTTAGCAACATGTTTGCATTTTTATGAGAAAAAAACAATTTTAATTGCCTACTTTTACAAAAACAAACTCTAATAACATAATTATAAAGAAGATGATTCATACAATTTGCCATGAGCGATACCGTCCACACAATCACAGTCCCTTCTATAAATAAAGGCAGATCTGACTTCAGGTATTGTGGTAGTGTAAAAAGGCCCTATGCTGAGTGTGTATATGCTGGGCCCCTCCGCAGCTCAGTGTTAGTTAACTCCTTGTTATCCTCTATGTGGATGTGAGTGTGTTGACTGGTGGAGCCCTGGGGTGGAGGCGTCTCTATGCTTGTTGGAAGTTCACACACACACACACACACACACACACACACACACACAGTTTACACACCGTGCGGGGACAGAGAGGTGGTGATTGACAGTGATTGAGGGTTGCCTCTCAGGGGCCCCTCTGTCCTGTGTGTTTACAGTGTACTATAAGGCCTACATGAGGAGTTCACAGCACACACAGCATTGTCTGAGCGAGCCGTGTTCCTCGCCTCAGGGCTCGCTGTGATCCCACCATGAACCTGCGCTGTTGAAGGCCCCACCCCCTTCACACACGCTGAACACACACACACATGCCGAACACACACACGCCAAACACACACCGAACACACACACATGCCGAACACACACACGCCACACACACACACCGATCACACACACGCCAAACACACACCGAACACACACACATGCCGAACACACACACGCCGAACACACTCACACGCACACACCATACTGTTTGAATTGTAATATGTGCCCTACCTGGAGAGTTCGTTCCCTGGTCCCTGTTGAAATCGTACTCCGCTCACTAATCCTTCCCCTCTCTCACATCGGGACCCAGTTAATGTAAAGTGTAACCAAATTTCCTCTGCTAAACTAAAACATCTATATCAAGTGAAAGCCAAGTGCCCCATTGAAGGGAAAAGGCGTTGTGCTCTGGCGATTTAGAGGCGAGAGCAGCAATTGGGACAACTCACTGGGGCTTACATGGAGCCCTTGTTTCAGTGTTTTATGCGTATGATGGTTTGAATTTCCTTTTCAACATGTTGAGTTGAGGTATTTCTGAAAGAAAAGCCTCACATCAATAATTTTCCCTATTCTGGTAATGACTCGTGAATAAAGTTTAGGCCTAACGTGTGGAAATGGAATAGAAAATGTTTCTCTTTGGATGTTAGTCTCGTGGTTTTCTGATTGACATTTAGAGAGAAGCTTTTGGAACATAAGCCGAATCAGATTGTCAAAACACTTGATGGACTAGTTTAAGTTGTTGATAATACCGTGAGAAGAATTCTACTTAGTGAACAAAGCTTGATGAACTGAATGTATCCAGGTTAGAGAATGGATCCTGCTGTTCAGACCAATCTTTTTTATATTATATTTGGGCTACCAGTATTGGACCTACAGTATGTGGAGAGTCTACTACCAGTATTGGACCTACAGTATGTGGAGAGTCTACTACCAGTATTGGACCTACAGTATGTGGAGAGTCTACTACCAGTATTGGACCTACAGTATGTGGAGAGTCTACTACCAGTATTAGACCTACAGTATGTGGAGAGTCTACTACCAGTATTAGACCTAAATGACGTAAATGTAAATGTAAATGTGGAGAGTCTACTTCTTTGTCTTGGAGTGGCCAAGGCTCACTAAGTGTACAATTAGATAATAGTCGATCGATAAGGTTGTTGTTGTTGCTCTGGAAAGTGTTGTTTTAGGTAGTAAAGTGATAGAAGGAGAAAAAGGTGAGGGAGGGAGAAAGAGAGAGAGGGACAGGAGACAGAGAGAGAAGGACGAGAAGAGAGAGAGAGAAGGAGAGAGAAGGATAGAAAGAGAGAAGGGGGATAGATAGAGACGCAGACCTCCTTGCCCTCTGACTGAGGGACCCTGTCCAGACCTTTCCTAACAGAGGGACCCTGTCCAGACCTTTCCTAACAGAGGGACCCTGTCCAGACCTTTCCTAACAGAGGGACCCTGTCCAGACCTTTCCTAACAGAGGGACCCTGTCCAGACCTTTCCTAACAGAGGGACCCTATCCAGACCTTTCCTAGCAGAGGGACCCTGTCCAGACCTTTCCTAACAGAGGGACCCTGTCCAGACCTTTCCTAACAGAGGGACCCTGTCCAGACCTTTCCTAACAGAGGGACCCTGTCCAGACCTTTCCTAACAGAGGGACCCTGTCCAGACCTTTCCTAACAGAGGGACCCTGTCCAGACCTTTCCTAACAGAGGGACCCTGTCCAGACCTTTCCTAACAGAGGGACCCTATCCAGACCTTTCCTAGCAGAGGGACCCTGTCCAGACCTTTCCTAACAGAGGGACCCTGTCCAGACCTTTCCTAGCAGAGGGACCCTGTCCAGACCTTTCCTAACAGAGGGACCCTGTCAGACCCCTAACAGAGGACCTCCAGACCTTTCCTACAGGGACCTGTCAGACCTTCCTACGAAGGACCTGTCAGCTTCTAGCAAGGGACCCTGTAACTTTCCAACAAGGGACCTTCCAGACTTCAATGCTTTTGCACAGAAAGTAGCCTGTAAGGAAAAAGGCTCTGGTTAACTTTACACACCATTTGAATGTTTTGACCTTGTTAGAGGAAATAGTCTGTACAGTTCAAAAAAAATCACACATGTTAATCATGTATGAAGGTATTCATGCTGAACACGTCATGTGTGGCCTTGACTCAAATGTTTAGTTTATTCAAATAGAGAGACAAAAAATTGTCACTTTTGTGGGATTCAATCAGATCACACATGGTGGGAAATGCGGCTTTTAAACACCATTTCCAATTGAGCCGATATATGCAGCATTTACCGTTGTCGAGAATGAGCAATCGGATTGAATCCCGGCCTAAAACGGTTGTCTGTGTGTACATTTGAAGAGTAATTTGTGTTAGGCTTTATCGTATGAGTGCTTCTCAGTGGATTCATTTGGTTCCAACATGTCCCACCCATTTTCATCCAAAGAACAAGGGCGCCTGCTCCCTAATCAATGACAAAACAGGATTTCAAAAAGAGTCTTTAACATTTTTATCCCCCTCTCAGGCTACAAACTAGGCAACTAAGCAGTTAGGCCCTAGTCTCCCAGAGGGCTGAATGGTCTGGCAGTGTGCTGAGGGTGGAGGGGCTGGTTATAAGACAGTAGAGGTTAGACTGCAATAAGACTTAGTGAGACGTAGAACCTCTAGTCTGAATAAAACATGAAGTCCCTGTGGTCACGTCATTCCTGGAAATAGTCATTCCAGGAAATAGCAGTTAAATGCGTGCTGATGTTTTGTAAACTCTAGTCTAATCTGCTCCTACTATTATATGTGTTGTAAACTCTAGTCTAATCTGCTCCTACTATTATATGTGTTGTAAACTCTAGTATAATCTGCTCCTACTATTATATGTGTTGTAAACTCTAGTATAATCTGCTCCTACTATTATATGTGTTGTAAACTCTAGTCTAATCTGCTCCTACTATTATATGTGTTGTAAACTCTAGTATAATCTGCTCCTACTATTATATGTGTTGTAAACTCTAGTCTAATCTGCTCCTACTATTTATTATATGTGTTGTAAACTCTAGTCTAATCCGCTCCTACTATTATATGTGTTGTAAACTCTAGTATAATCTGCTCCTACTATTATATGTGTTGTAAACTCTAGTCTAATCTGCTCCTACTATTATATGTGTTGTAAACTCTAGTATAATCTGCTCCTACTATTATATGTGTTGTAAACTCTAGTCTAATCTGCTCCTACTATTATATGTGTTGTAAACTCTAGTATAATCTGCTCCTACTATTATATGTGTTGTAAACTCTAGTATAATCTGCTCCTACTATTATATGTGTTGTAAACTCTAGTCTAATCTGCTCCTACTATTATATGTGTTGTAAACTCTAGTCTAATCCGCTCCTACTATTATATGTGTTGTAAACTCTAGTATAATCTGCTCCTACTATTATATGTGTTGTAAACTCTAGTCTAATCTGCTCCTACTATTATATGTGTTGTAAACTCTAGTATAATCTGCTCCTACTATTATATGTGTTGTAAACTCTAGTCTAATCTGCTCCTACTATTATATGTGTTGTAAACTCTAGTCTAATCCGCTCCTACTATTATATGTGTTGTAAACTCTAGTATAATCTGCTCCTACTATTATATGTGTTGTAAACTCTAGTCTAATCTGCTCCTACTATTATATGTGTTGTAAACTCTAGTCTAATCTGCTCCTACTATTATATGTGTTGTAAACTCTAGTATAATCTGCTCCTACTATTATATGTAAATGTAAATATGTGTTGTAAACTCTAGTATAATCTGCTCCTACTATACTACCACACGTAATCAACCCCCCCCGTTCCCCCCACCCAGGCTGCATCCCAAATGGCACCCTATTCTCTATATAGTACACTACTTTTGACTAGAGCCCAGGGCCCTATAGGGAATAGGGTGCCATTTGAGACGCAACCCCGGTTATAGAGAACAGGCCGGGCCCTGCCTTTAAGCTGTAACAGCTTTTTTCTTGATGTCATGTCCTGTCACTCTCTGTGTGAACTAATGAACACCTGTCTGTAGGCTACTGCCAGGAGGGAATGGAATACTATATTTTGTATGTTTACGACTGAAAATAACTTTAATAACTTTAATAAGTTTGCTATTTTCAGGCACAACATCAATAGAGTAATCTAGAATGACACAATGAAAGAAAGGGATGTCTACGTCTTCATGTGTGCTGAGAGCTAAACTCTCCTCTTTCCTCTCTCTCTCTCTCTCTCTCTCTCTCTCTCTCTCTCTCTCTCTCTCTCTCTCTCTCTCTCTCTCTCTCTCTCTCTCTCTCTCTCCTCTCTCCTCTCTCTACTCTCTCTCTACTCTCTCCTCTCTCTCTCTCTCTCTCCTCTCTCCTCTCTCTCTCCTCTCTCCTCGTTCTACTCTCTCTCTCTCTCTCTCTCGTCTCTCTCTCTCTCTCTCTCTCTCTCTCTCTCTCTCTCTCTCTTTCCTCTCTCTCCTCTCTCTGTTTGTAGTCCTTATGAGGAGTTGGTGAGAGTGATGAACTCTGAGCAGGAAAGGCCGTTTGTGTGCAGTGCCCCTGGCTGTTCTCAGGTGAGTGTCGACACACGTCTGTGTGTGTTTTTTGTGTGTGTGTGTGTGTGGTGTGTGCTCGTGCATGTTTGTGTGTGAGCGCCTGTAACATGAAGAAGAGGATGGAGAGGGGGCCTGAAGAGTAGGTTGCTGCCTCGCACATCAGGAGAAACAGAATAGCACCCACTTCCAGTGAAACCCCAGCTGTAAATAAAGGGGCTTTTTGCTGCAGATGTGAAAAACACCACAGAATAATGGTTAAGAAGTCAATGCCACGTCTGTCACGCTTTTGTTAGGATGCACAGTAGAGGTGAAATATGAAGTTAAAATATGTATTGTCCTGTTTTATATTGATGTAAGGCTTTAAGGTATAGATTATAGAGGAGTCATTATAGACTTAATAAATGTATTTTCATACTGTATGTTCAGTGTTAAACTCCCAGGTATTTTGTCCACATGCTGGAGACATTAAGAAGATAGATTACCGCAAAACAACACATTTTTACTTACTCAATGATCATAGACAACCACAAAATTCACAGGAATTTGTTTCTGGAGTGCAGTATTCCTTTAACTGTCTCTGTGCATGCTTTTTTAACCTGGAATTCACACTAGTGAATATCATACAAAATATCACTGAATATCACTGGATTCCAGGCTTGAGACTCTGTGCGTAGAGAACTGAGTGGTTGTGTTCTTTATCGAGGAGGACCACATTGGAAAATAACTATATTTATTTTAAAATAACTATATTTATTGTTTCCTGTGTTATCCTCTTTTTTTTAACAGTACAATTGTCTTTACCCCAAAATGAATCTAATAATTCTGTCCCAACAGCGATTCCCCACAGAGGACCACCTGATGATTCACCGGCACAAGCATGAGATGACCCTGAAGTTTCCCTCCATAAAGATCGACAACATGTTATCAGGTGACAAACGGCTTCAGACATCCCATGCTGTAACATCACTCTCTAGTGTGCATCCCAACTGGCACCCTATTCCCTATGTAGTGCACTACATTTGACCAGGGCCCATAATAGGATTTCATTTGGGACATAGCCTCTAGTCTAATAGTCTAGTCCCATCGTGGTGTTCTGGAATAGATGAATGTTGTATTTCTCTCTCAGGAAGTAGCAACTGTCCCCGCCAGGCATATAGTAAGTCAGGCTATAAACAGAACTGTGTAGCCTACACCAGGGTTGGGGTTGATTCCGTTTTTGATTCAGTCAATTCAATGAAATTCACTTAATTAATGACTGAATTCAGGCCAACTGTGCTGTGCGTTGTGTTCAGGAGAGTTTGTGGTTGACTGCTATACTGTACCTCGACTCTGTTGTGGCTCTCCTCATTTCCCAACGGTGAAAGCCTCGTTGTGTATTGAGTCTAATCTGTAACCCATACCTTGTCGTTCTGAAGTGCTCAGCAGGACAATGAGACACTGATGAAATTCATGTTTTTCCTTTTTCCAAGTTAAGATACATGTTTTGTCATAGACAACATTTCTCTTTCTTGCTAAGTTGTGCTGCTGGCTTCCTGTCATCATCACATATCTCATTAGTCTTGCTGTGACAGTGGGGAGGGGATGAATGGGTGGAGGGGTGGTGGAGGGGGGGGTTCCCCTGCCCTGCCCCACCATACAGAGGGGAGGAGAAGGGGTGTGGTTGGGGGTGACATATTGACCCACAGTTCAAAGGAAGACCTGATTTATACTGTCTGTCAATCCCAAGGCAAAGTCATACTTCCAGATCTTTAGTGCCTAGACAGAGCCCTGCTGAAGCAACAGAAGACTGGTGTGTGTGTATGTGGTATGATGTAGATATATGTGTGTGTGTATATATAGATGTATTTAAAAGTGTATTTGAGGTTTAATAAGTCTTCTGAAGTACTACTATATCAACCCCTACAAAAATGTCCATTAATTATAATCCACATAATAACTGTACTTTCCTGTTGCTGCAGGATTCTTTTCCTGCTGTACACTCTTAGAAAAAATGGGTCCAAAAGGGTTCTTCGGCTGTCCCCATAGGAGATCCCTTTTTGGTTCCAGGGAGAACCCTTTTTGGGGCCACGTAGAACCCTTTTGGGTTCCATGTAGAACCGTCTGTGGAAAGGGTTCTACCTGGAACCAAAAAGAGTTATTCTTCAAAGAGTGTTGCAAATTGGCTCAAATTAGGATACTAAATGTATGTATGTACAGTGCCTTCAGAAAGTATACACACCCCTTCACTTATTCCACATGTTGTTGTGCTACAGCCTGAATTCAAAATTGATTACATAAAAAACATTTTCTCACCCATCTACACACAATACCCCATAATGACAAAGTGAAAACATGTTTTTAGGAATTTTTGCAAATGTATTGAAAATTAAATACATAAATATCACATTTACATACGTATTCACAGCCCTGAGTCAATACGTGTTAGAATCACCTTTGGCAGCAATTACAGCTGTGAGTCTTTCTGGGTAAGTCACTAAGCGCTTTGCACACCTGGATTGTACAATATTTGCCCTTTATTCTTTTCAAATTATTCAAGCTGCTGTCAAATTGGTTTGGTTGATCATTGGCCAGACAACCCCATTTCAATCATCTTGACAAGGATTCTTGCAAAAAATTGAATAACCTTACCAACATGGCCTGAAAGGGATGTTCAATGTCCTTGATCTTTTCTGTTACCCGCTGCAAAAAATTAATAACTTACATCATGCTGAAAGGGATGTTCAATGTCTGCTCTTTTCTTTTACCCATCTACCAATAGGTGCCGTTCTTTGCGAGTTATTGGAAAACCTCCCTGGTCTTTGTGGTTGAATCTGTGTTTGAAATGCACTGCTCAACTGAGAGACCTTACAGATAATTGTATGTGTGGAGTACAGAGATTAGGTAGTCATTCAAAATCATGTTAAACACTATTATTGCACACAGAGTGAGTCCAGAGTGAGTCCATTTACTCCTGAACTTATTTAAGCTTGCCATAACAAAGGGGGTGAATACTTATTGACTCAAGACATTACAGCTTTTCATTTTTAATTAATTTGTAAACATTTTGAAAAACATGATTCCACTTTGTGTAGGCCAGTGACAAAAAAAACAAATTTTAATCAATTTTAAATTCAGGCTGTAACACAACAAAATGTGGAAAAAGTCAAGGGGTGTGAATACTTTCTGAAGGCACTGTGTGTATGTATGTGTGTGTGTGTGTGTGTGTGTGTGTGTGTGTGTGTGTGTGTGTGTGTGTGTGTGTGTGTGTGTGTTAGGGTGATGCTGACTGAGATTGTCTTCTTTATTATTTACACTGAGCGACCAGGAGAATCAGGTTTCTGTCCCGGCTGAGTCAGTGTCCTCATTCCCCACTCTCTCTCTCTTACTGCTCTGTCCATTTCTCTTACTGAAAGAGGGTCGACGATCATAAGTCACCTGTCTGTCTGACTCTCCTGTTTAGGGTTAACACAACTTCAACATGTCACCCAGAGAGATTTAAACTGCCCCAGACCCTTTCCCCTTTTTGATATGTAACACCAAAGCTTACCTCATTTTACCAAGGTTTGGCCTGTTTCTCCTAACATCCGCGGTGAGTTGTCACGTCATCATACTTCTCTGGAAATGGACACCGCTGGCGCTCCAGTTTTTAAAAACGTTTTAATGGAAGAGTTAAGCTCTCATCCTCCCTATTGGGAAAGCCAGACTGTTTTGGTCAAACTGTATTTTGGTCGTCAATCCCCAGTCTAGCCAGAATGGATAAACAGCCCGTGGTGGAGTATACTTTTAGCCTTTGAAAAGGACTTGATCCTAAAATCACCTTGGACTGTCTGAAACATGATCCAGTCTCTCTGGTCTCTCTGCCCCCTGATGCTGAGTGGAGTAACACTGCCTGACTGAAGGGAACAAATGGGCCCCCCCTCTCTGTAGGTGAGGTCTGGACATTGTTAACTGAAATGTTGCTATTGAGAGTGGTATCTGTGTCTAATGTAAAAGGAGAGTGGCTTTGCTAACCATTTGGAACGATCATTAGCTTGGCAATGTATTCTCTGCCTCTGTCCACTTCGTATTCATCAGCTGTTCTTCTTTATCGACAAACTATCACAACTTAACAGTTCAGGCAACGGACAAAAACAAGTCATTTTTAGCTAACATTATTAGAGTTGAAAATGTTGTGTGTGTCCCTCTCACGGCTAGTTAACAAACATGCAGTGCAGATATATATACAAATGTATTGTTTTATACACTATTTAACTTTTTTTTTTTCTGTTTCTAGAATGAATGCTTTCCTGACCAAGATAGACAATTTTTTTGTCAATTTGCTACCTGCTAGGATGCTAATATCCGTTCTAGTGAGTTGTATATGTAATTCTATGGTGTCTCCTGTGTTCCAGACCAGACGCCAACCCCGACGCGCTTCCTGAAGAACTGTGAGGAGGTGGGTCTGTTCAGCGAGCTGGACTGTTCTATAGAACAGGAGTTCAGGAAGGCCCAGGAGGAAGAGGACAACAAACAGGTAGACAAGATGACAATAAGACAACTAACCTGATTATCAGGTAGACAAGATGACAATAAGACAACTAACCTGATTATCAGGTAGACACGATGACAGTAAAACAACTAACCTGATTATCAGGTAGACACGATGACAGTAAGACAACTAACCTGATTATCAGGTAGACACGATGACAGTAAGACAACTAACCTGATTATCAGGTAGACACGATGACAGTAAGACAACTAACCTGATTATCAGGTAGACACGATGACAGTAAGACAACTACCCTGATTATCTTTTTGAACTATCTCCAAAAAGTTTTGGGACACTGTAAAGTCCTTCCGTAGCCTCCAACTGCTCTTAAACGCTAGTAAAACTAAATGCATGCTCTTCAATCGAACGCTGCTTGCACCCGCCCGCCCGACTAGAATCACTACTCTCGGTGGGTCTGACTTAGAATATGTGGACAACTACAAATACCTAGGTGTCTGGTTAGACTGTAAACTCTCCTTCCAGACTCACATTAAGAATCTCCAATCCAAAGGTAAATCTAGAATCAGCTTCCTATTTCGCAACAAAGCCTCCTTCACTCATGCTGCCAAACATGCCCTCGTAAAACTGACTATCCTACCGATCCTTGACTTCGGCGATGTAATTTACAAAATAGCCTCCAACACTCTACTCAGCAAATTGGATGTAGTCTATCAAAGTGCCATTTGTTTTGTCACCAAAGCCCCATATACTACCCACCATTGTGACCTGTACGCTCTCGTTGGCTGGCCCTCACTACATATTCGTCGCCAAACCCACTGGCTCCAGGTCATCTATAAATCACTGCTAGGCAAATCCTTGCCTTATCTTAGCTCATTGGTCACCATAGCAACACCCACCCGTAGTATGCGTTCCAGCAGGTATATCTCACTGGTCATCCCCAAAGCCAACACCTCCTTTGGCCGCCATTCCTTCCAGTTCTCTGCTGCCAATGACTGGAACGAACTGCAAACATCTCTGAAGCTGGAGACACTTATCTCCCTCACTAACTTTAAGCATCAGTTGTCAGAGCAGCTTACCGATCACTGCATCTGTACATAGCCCATCTGAAATTAGCCCACCCAACTACCTAATTCCCATATTGTTATTTATTTTGCTCATTTGCACCCCAGTATCTCTATTTGCACATCATCTTCTGCACATCTATCACTCCAGTGTTAATACTAAATTGTAATTGTTTTGCACTATGGCCTATTTATTGCCTTACCTCCATAACTTGCTACATTTGCACACACTGTATATATATTTTCTATTGTGTTATTGACTGTACGTTTTGTTTATCCCATATGTAACTGTGTTGTTGTTGTTTTTATCGCACTGCTTTGCTTTATCTTGGCCAGGTCGCAGTTGTAAATGAGAACTTATTCTCAACTGACTTACCTGGTTAAATAGAGGTTAAATAAAATAAAATAAATAAAAATCAGGTAGACACGATGACAGTAAGACAACTAACCTGATTATCAGGTAGACAATATAACAGTAATACAACTAACCTGATTATCAGGTAGACAAGATGACAGTAAGACTAACCTGATGAAGCCCACCTTCCATTTCTATACACTATTCTGCACAATGACAATTATTTAAATGAAGGTTGGCCATTGTCTTTCCAAGTGTGAGGGTTTTTCTCTTCAGGTAGAGAAGATGAGAGTAAGAAATACAAACCTGCTTATTGAATGCCTCGTTGGTTCACTTTTTATACAGTATTCTGCACAATTATTGAATCAAGGTCGGTCGTTGTTTTACGTTGTTTTAGGTGTGAGGTATGCCTTCGGAAAGTATTCAGACTCCTTGACTTTTTTCCACATTTTGTTAACAGTAACAGCCTTATTCTAAAATGGATTAAATCTTATTTTTTTATCAGCAATCTACACACAATACCCCATAATGACAAAGCGAAAACAAGTTTTTAGACATTTTTGCAAATGTATTAAAAACTGAAAACAGAAATACCTTATTTACATAAGTATTCAGACCCTTTGCTATGAGACTCGAAATTGAGCTCAGGTGCATCCTGTTTCCGTTGATCATCCTTGAGATGTTTCTACAACTTGATTGGAGTCCACCTGTGGTAAATTCAAATGATTAGACATGATTTGGAAAGGCACACACCTGTCTATATAAGGTCCCACAGTTGACGGTGCATGTCAGAGCAAAAACCAAGCCATGAGGTCGAAGGAATTTGTGATGCGTGTGATAGAAGGAGTCAGGCGCAGGAGAGTAATACGCATCCAAAGAGTTTATTCCGTCGATAAACAGTTGCGCAAACATGCGACAACAAAACTCAGGCACAGGGGAAATATCTACCCTGGCAACAACAAGGTAAGGGTAGCTCAACCGAGCTACAAACAGCTCACTACAAACAATCACCCACACAGACAAGGAAGCAGAGGGAACACTTATACAATGACTAATTTGGGATAAGGACCAGGTGTGTGTGATTAATTAGACAAGATAAGTGGAGTGATGATAAATGGATCGGCAGCAGCTAGTAAGCTGGTGACGACGAACGCCGAAACCTGCCCGAACAAGGAGGGGAGGCAGCCTCGGCTGACAGAATTGTCCGTAGAGCTCCGAGACAGGATTGTGTCGAGGCACAGATCTGGGGAAGGTCCCCAAGAACACAGTGCTCTCCATCATTCTTAAATGGAAGAAGTTTGGAACCACCAAGACGCTTCCTAGAGCTGGCCGCCCGGCCAAACTGAGCAATCGGGGGAGAAGGAGAAGAACCTAATGGGTTCCTCTGTGGAGATGTGAGAACCTTCCAGAAGGACAACCATCTCTGCAGCACTCCACCAATCAGGCCTTTATGGTAGAGTGGCTAGACGGAAGCACATGACACGCCCGCTTGGAGTTTGGCAAAAGGCACCTAAAGACTCTCAGACCATGAGAAACAAGATTCTCTGGTCTGATGAAACCAAGATTGAACTCTTTGGCCTGAATGCCAAGCGTCACATCTGGAGTAAACCTGGAACCATCCCTACAGTGAAGCATGGTGATGGCAGCATCATGCTGTGAGGATGTTTTTCAGCGGCAGGGACTGGGAGACTAGTCACGATCGAGGCAAAGATGAACGGAGCAAAGTACAGAGAGACTCTTGATGAAAACCTGCTCCAGAGTGCTCAGGACCTCAGACTGGGGCGAAGGTTCACCTTCCAACAGGACAACATTTACATTTACATTTTAGTCATTTAGCAGACGCTCTTATCTAGAGCGACGTACAGTTAGTGAGTGCATACATTATTTTTTTATTTTTCATACTGGCCCCCCGTGGGAATCAAACCCACAACCCTGGCGTTGCAAACGCCATGCTTTTCCAACTGAGCTACATCCCTGCCGGCCATTCCCCCCCTACCCTGGACGACACTGGGCCGATTGTGCGCCGCCCCATGGCACACAGCCAAGACAACGCAGGAGTGGCTTCGGGACAAGTCTCTGAATGTCCTTGAGTGGCCTAGCCAGAGCTCGGACTTGAACCCGATCGAACATCTCTGGAGAGACCTGAAAATAGCTGTGCAGCAACGCTCCCCATCCAACCTGACAGAGCTTGAGAGGATCTGCAGAGAAGAATGGGAGATACTCCCCAAATACAGGTGTGCCAAGCTTGTAGTGTCATACCCAAGAAGACTCAATGCTGTATTCGCTGTCAAAGGTGCTTCAACAAAGTACTTAGTAAAGGGTCTGAATACTTATGTAAATGTGATATTTCATTTATTTTTATTTTTATAAATTTGCAAAAATGTCTGAAAACCTGTTTTTGCTTTGTCATTGTGGGGTATTGTGTGTACATTGATGAGGGAAAAAAACGATTTAATCAATTTTAGAATAAGGCTATAACGTAACAAAATGTGGAAAAAGTTAAGGGGTCTGAATACTTTCCGAAGACACTGTATATGTGTTTTGGATGCTCAGTTTTCCTGCCAGAACCATCAGCTGAATTAGACACACTGCTGTGCACAGGGCCTTCACCTGTGTTTATCTCTGGAGTACAGTAAGATAAGGCCAGGGGAACCCCAGAGTACAGTAAGATAAGGCCAGGGGAACCCCGGGTCAACCCACAGCTGCAGGCAGACAGGTGTGTTATGGGTAGTCCCCCTTTATCTTGCACTGTCATCATTCTTCAATCCCCCAGCCACCACACACACATTCCAGGCAGGTATCTGTACACACACTGTCATCATTCAATCCCCCAGCCACCACACACACATTCCAGGCAGGTATCTGTACACACACTGTCATCATTCAATCCCCCAGCCACCACACACACATTCCAGGCAGGTAACTGTGCACACACTGTCATCATTCTTCAATCCCCCAGCCTCCACACACACACTCCAGGCAGGTAACTACTTCCTGAAACACTCATAGCAGGCACAAGCATGCACACGCACATTCACGCAAGTCATCTCCTAACCAATTGTAACAAACTCCCATCAGGGGATACACTGTGCTTGCTAGCTCACACACTCACAACAGGTAGACTCTACCCACCCCTATTCCCACTCACATGTCGGGATTCAACCACTGTGTTGCAGCAAGAGCCCCGACAGGCAGATAGACAGACAGACAGGCAGATAGACAGACAGACAGACAGACAGACAGACAGACAGACAGACAGACAGACAGACAGACAGACAGACAGACAGACAGACAGACAGACAGACAGACAGACAGGCAGACAGACAGACAGACAGGCAGGCAGACAGGCAGACAGGCAGACAGACAGACAGACAGGCAGACAGGCAGGCAGGCAGACAGACAGACAGACAGGCAGACAGACAGACAGACAGACAGACAGACAGACAGACAGACAGACAGACAGACAGAGAGGTGAAGGGCTGTGACTGCTACAGGAGAGGTGAGGAGGGAGCAGGATATCAGATTCCCCCAGGCAGCTGCTGTACTGTAAACAGCTCACTTCATCTCTCAGAAACACAGATAGAGGGATTCACGTTTCCTCCTGGTCCAGACTCAGACAGACAGCCGCAGACAGACAGCAGCTTGAGACAGCGAGACCAGGCTGTACGCCAGACAGACAGACAGCCAGACCTGCACACTCGTCATGTGTCTGCGACATGTGTGGCTCACCAGCAGTCACCACTCACCACAGTCTCAGAACAGTGAGGTCCGATTGGACTCCAAGGTAGTTGTTAATGTATTATGGGTCAATGTTAAGAACTCTTTACCTGTGACACTATGTCACAACACAGCTACACTGTATCTCTCTGTCTCAGACTGCTGATCCGGTGTCTGGTCTGGGGGAGATGGGGATACATGCTGTAGGCTGTAGCTCTGCTGACCTCTGGGTCTGGGTTTGGCTCTGGAGGCTTTCTGTGTCAGTCAGGGCACCCAGGCCACGTCTAGCCTCCCCAGTCCCCCAAGTCTGGCGGTGTGGTGTTTATGGTTGAGGAGCTGTGCTCAGTCAGCACGACTGGGAGGCGAGTCTCGGCAGGACTGTGGAGTACACAGCATAGCAGCATATCAGGGGAGAGAGAGGAGAAAGGTTGGTTTAAGTTCAAGAGAGCATAGCTCACAACAGTACACTCTTAGAAAAAAAAGGTGCTATCTAAAACCAAAAAAGGGTTATTCGGCTGTCCCCATAGGAGAACCCTTTGAAGAACCCCTTTTGGTTCCAGGTAGAACCCTTTTGGTTCCAGGTAGAACACTTTCCACAGAGGGTTCTACGTGGAACCCAAAAGAGTGTAGAAGTTGCTACATCAGCAGTCTGAAAACCTGACCTTAATAACCCTTGCATCCATAGCTCTGTCTATGCATTTGAGAGTGGTTACATTTCTCCCGTCCCATCCACCCTCAGCTTTTTACCAAAACAGAGATAGGGAGAACACTTTGATATTGTTTCAATTGCTGATTGCTGCATTCAGGCTCTTCGTGAGGAAAGTGACTGAGCAGTACAGGGGTTACAGTGAAGCTTTGTAACTTTGACATTTAAACTTTGACATTTACACTAAATGAACTTAAAGACTAATTATTGCAGTTGGCTGTTAACAATGTGTTCTGACTAGGTCCTCTCTCTCTCTCCTCTCTCTCTCTCTCTCTCTCTCTCTCTCTCTCTCTCTCTCTCTCTCTCCTCCCCTCCCCCACTCCCTCTCTCTCTCTCTCTCTATCTCTCTCTCTCTCTCTCTCTCTCTCTCTCCCTCCCTCTCTCCAGAACATCTCTCTACAGAACCTGCAGAACCAGCAGCATCACTCTCGGATGGGGAACCATGACAACAGCATAGTGATCCAGCAGGCCCTGCCCTCTCCCCAGTCCAGCTCTGTCATCACCCAGGCCCCCTCCACCAACAGACAGATAGGGTGAGGCCTCCAGTCCACAATGCCTGGATTAACCAATACATTAACTAACATTAGACCTGGGTCAAATACAGTACATGTCAAATATGCTATTTTAGTATGCTTACTTTAGCTTGAAGTGTTTCACTTTTGGGACTATTGCTTCCATCTATCCTCTGTGGTTAGTCTAGAGAACTACTCTGCCTTTTCTCTGTCTGATATTCAGTACAGTGATATGAGGATGTCCTTTTCAGCAGTGGCCCAGTGATTGGCATCCTTGTGTAGTCTCTGAGGTCACACCAGTGTTCTGTTACATCTGGAGCTGTGTGTGTGTGTGTGTCTGTGTGTGTGTATTGTGTATCTTTCTGTGTGTGTAAGTGTGTGTGTGTGTGCGCATCTGTGTGTGTGTGTGTTACTGACAAGGCGATTCATGTTTAGCTGTTGACTGTGTATTGTCCCACAGCAGAGCAGAGCATGTCAAGAGGGGCCCAGGGGAGAGGGATGAGGTCATCTCTGATGGCCCCGGCCCGGCCCTGGCTGCTTTTACAGCGGTTTAGCATTTCATGCTCCAAAATAGTCCCTTTATTTCTTTCACTTTAGGAGGGGGAAGTCACACAATAACTGCCTTTGGTTTAGATGTTTCGATCCTTGTTGCAACTGAAAGCCTTGTCACGCAGCTTCTTAAAAACAGGGTTATGATTGAATTCAGCGTGAAACATGTGAATTCAAATCAAATCAAATCAAATCAAATTGTATTGGTCACATGCGCCGAATACAACAGGTGCAGACATTACAGTGAAATGCTTACTTACAGCCCTTAACCAACAGTGCATTTATTTTAAACAAAAAAAGTAAGAATAAAACAACAACAAAAAAAGTGTTGAGAAAAAAAGAGCAGAAGTAAAATAAAGTGACAGTAGGGAGGCTATATATACAGTAAAATAAAGTGACAGTAGGGAGGCTATATATACAGGGGGGTACCGTTGCAGAGTCAATGTGCGGGGGCACCGGCTAGTTGAGGTAGTTGAGGTAATATGTACATGTGGGTAGAGTTAAAGTGACTATGCATAAATACTTAACAGAGTAGCAGCAGCGTAAAAAGGATGGGTGGGGGGGCAGTGCAAATAGTCCGGGTAGCCATGATTAGCTGTTCAGGAGTCTTATGGCTTGGGGGTAGAAGCTGTTGAGAAGTCTTTTGGACCTAGACTTGGCACTCCGGTACCGCTTGCCGTGCGGTAGCAGAGAGAACAGTCTATGACTAGGGTGGCTGGAGTCTTTGACAATTTTGAGGGCCTTCCTCTGACACCGCCTGGTATAGAGGTCCTGGATGGCAGGGAGCTTTGCCCCAGTTATGTACTGGGCCGTACGCACTACCCTCTGTAGTGCCTTGCGGTCAGAGGCTAAGCAGTTGCCATACCAGGCGGTGATGCAACCAGTCAGGATGCTCTCGATGGTGCAGCTGTAGAATTTTTTGAGGATCTGAGGACCCATGCCAAATCTTTTTAGTCTCCTGAGGGGGAATAGGCTTTGTCGTGCCCTCTTCACGACTGTCTTGGTGTGTTTGGACCATGATAGTTCGTTGGTGATGTGGACACCAAGGAACTTGAAGCTCTCAACCTGTTCCACTACAGCCCCGTCGATGAGAATGGGGGCGTGCTCAGTCCTCTTTTTTTTCCTGTAGTCCACAATCATCTCCTTTGTCTTGGTCACGTTGAGGGAGAGGTTGTTGTCCTGGCACCACACGGCCAGATCTCTGACCTCCTCCCTATAGGCTGTCTCATCGTTGTCGGTGATCAGGCCTACCACTGTTGTGTCGTCGGCAAACTTAATGATGGTGTTGGAGTCGTGCCTGGCCATGCAGTCATGGGTGAACAGAGAGTACAGGAGGGGACTGAGCACGCACCCCTGAGGGGCCCCCGTGTTGAGGATCAGTGTGGCAGATGTGTTGTTACCTACCCTTACCACCTGGGGGCGGCCCGTCAGGAAGTCCAGGATCCAGTTGCAGAGGGAGGTGTTTAGTCCCAGGATCCTTAGCTTAGTGATGAGCTTAGAGGGCACTATGGTGTTGAATGCTGAGCTGTAGTCAATGAATAGCATTCTCACGTAGGTGTTCCTCTTGTCCAGGTGGGAAAGGGCAGTGTGGAGTGCGATAGAGATTGCATCGTCTGTGGATCTGTTGGGGCGGTATGCAAATTGGAGTGGGTCTAGGGCTTCTGGGATTATGCTGTTGATGTGAGCCATGACCAGTCTTTCAAAGCACTTCATGGCTACAGACGTCAGTGCTACGGGTCGGTAGTCATTTAGGCAGGTTATCTTAGAGTTCTTGGGCACGGGGACTATGGTGGTCTGCTTGAAACATGTTGGTATTACAGACTCAGTCAGGGACATGTTGAAAATGTCAGTGAAGACACTTGCCAGTTGGTCAGCACATGCTCGGAGTACACGTCCTGGTAATCCGTCTGGCCCTGCGGCCTTGTGAATGTTGACCTGCTTAAAAGTCTTACTCACATCGGCTACGGAGAGCGTGATCACATAGTCGTCCGGAACAGCTGGTGCTCTCATGCATGCTTCAGTGTTGCTTGCCTCGAAGCGAGCATAGAAGTGGTTTAGCTCGTCTGGTAGGCTTGTGTCACTGGGCAGCTCGCGGCTGTGCTTCCCTTTGTAGTCTGTAATAGTTTTCAAGCCCTGCCACATCCGACGAGCGTCAAAGCCAGTGTAGTATGATTCAATCTTAGACCTGTATTGACTCTTTGCCTGTTTGATGGTTCGTCGGAGGTCATAGCGGGATTTCTTATAAGCGTCCGGGTTAGAGTCCCGTTCCTTGAAAGCGGCAGCTCTACCCTTTAGCTCAGTGCGGATGTTTCCTGTAATCCATGGCTTCTGGTTGGGGTATGTACGTACGGTCACTGTGGGGACGACATCATCGATGCACTTATTGATGAAGCCAGTGACTGATGTGGTGTACTCCTCAAAGTGCTTATACAGGCTGATGAACAGGGTTCGTAATGGTAGTGTAGGGTCAGAGGACTGTTCAATTATCCTTCAGTCAGCTTCTTACTCTACGGGTTGAATTAACATTAAAAAAGTTTCCCTGAGGTAAAAAAAGTATTTTCCAAAAGAAGACCTAAAGCGTATGTATGAAAAAATGTATGCACTCACTAACTGTAAGTGGCTCTGGATAAGAGCGTCTGCTAAATGACTAACATGTAAATGTATGTGTCTAGTTGGGGAGTTGGGGAGTTTAACATTAATGCTTGTTGACGTTTGTACATCTGTGAGCTCTTGAGTTCAGACCTCTGTGCTGTAGAAATAGTCAGGATGGGTGTTGGGTGTGCCCCACCATGATGTCATAGACCCTCGTCCCGCACCCCTGGGGTGATATCAGCTTTTTTGGGGGAACGCCTTCATTGCGCTCCCATCCACTGACCTGTGTCTTGAGTTGATGTTGTTTCCTCTCTCTCTCTCTCTCTCTCTCTCTCTCTCTCTCTCTCTCTCTCTCTCTCTCTCTCTCTCTCTCTCTCTCTCTCTCTCTTCTTCTCTCTTCTCTTTGTGTCAGTCTATCTTTCATTGATAATTGACACCTGAATCACACATACTGTACATAATGCAGTCACACAAGCACATGCACACATACACGCGTACGCACGCACACACACACGTACGTACGTGCACACACACACACACACCACACACACACACACACACACACACACACACACACACACACACAGGGGTGGATGTGAGTGCGCAGACCCACGAGCCACTGCGGCCCCTCATGATGAGTTCAGATGTTTTGTGGCCCCCACCCCCATCATAGTTGCCCATCCCTGCTCTAAGGGATCAGAAGTCAGAAACACCATGCAACAATTACAATGCTTTATTCACTGAATCTGTGTTTGTTTCAGTCATAGCCTATTGTTCTCTCTCTCTGTCTCTCTCCCCCTCGCTCTCTCTCTCTCTCTGTCTCTCTCCCCCTCACTCGCTCTCTCTCTCTCTCTCTCAGTCTCTCTCCCCCCTCTCTCTCTCTCCCCCCCCTCGCTCTCTCTCTCTCTCTCTGTCTCTCTCCCCCCTCTCTCTCTCTCTCCCCCTCGCTCTCTCGTTCTCTCCCTCGCTCTCTGTGCGTGCTGTTATCTTTAAAACATGCAGTCTAGAAGTGGAATAACATGATGTCTTGGACTAGAAGGTAGCCCTATAGTCTGTCCTGTGTTGAGCCAGACCTATAGTCCTGTGTTAAGCCAGCGTTGTGTTAAGCCAGCATTGTGTTAAGGCAGCTCTGTGTTAAGGCAGCTCTGTGTTAAGCCAGCGTTGTGTTAAGGCAGCGTTGTGTTAAGGCAGCTCTGTGTTAAGGCAGCTCTGTGTTAAGCCAGCGTTGTGTTAAGGCAGCGTTGTGTTAAGGCAGCTCTGTGTTAAGGCAGCTCTGTGTTAAGCCAGCATTGTGTTAAGGCAGCTCTGTGTTAAGGCAGCTCTGTTTTAAGCCAGTATTGTGTTAAGGCAGCATTGTGTTAAGCCAGCATTGTGTTAAGGCAGCATTGTGTTAAGGTAGCATTGTGCATAGATAATAAACAGAGAGTAGCAGCCATTTGATTAGATGTTCAGGAGTCTTATGGCTTGGGGGTAGAAGCTGTTTAAAAGCCTCTTGGCCCTAGACTTGGCGCTCTGGTACCGCTTGCCGTGCGGTAGCAGAGAGAACAGTCTATGACTAGGGTGGCTGGAGTCTTTGACAATTTTGAGGGCCTTCCTCTGACACCGCCTGGTATAGAGGTCCTGGATGGCAGGAAGCTTGGCCCCAGTGATGTACTGGACCGTACGCACTACCCTCTGTAGTGCCTTGCGGTCGGAGGCCGAGCAGTTGCCATACCAGGCAATGATGCAACCAGTCAGGATGCTCTCGATGGTGCAGCTGTAGAACCTTTTGAGGATCTGAGGACCCATGTCAAATCTTTTCAGTCTGTGTTAAGCCAGCATTGTGTTAAGACAGCTCTGTGTTTAGCCAGCCTGTGTCCAGTCAGGCCTGTGTAGTTTTACCACTGGTTGGAAGAAGACATGGGCTGTACCAAATGGCACCGTATTCCCATAGGGCTCTGGTCCAAAGTAGTGCTCTATATAGAGAATAGGGCATCATTTGGGACGTAGCCCTGGTGAATATTGGATGTGGGAGCCATCAGTAAGCCTGACTGACACCCCTATACAGGCTCTTTGTACAGGAGAGGACAGGGGTGGAATTACATCCCCTTGGCTTGGAGGAGAAGAAATCACTGTCTGCCAGTAAAAAGAGACATAAGGCTGTGCTGAGAGAGACAGGCCTGTTTTACCTGACTTAACCTGTCATCAAAGACTCCCCACCTCGCTGGAGAGGAGGAGCATGGATAGGAAGACTCACCACTTCAGCATTTTTAGGGAATACAGTTGAACATCAGCCAGCTGGCTAAATCTGGCACATTTACAGAAAGGTTCAGCAGCGTGCATTGTCTCTGTCAAATAAGCTTAATAAACTAAAGTACGTTTTAGTTGGTCAACTTTATTCTATAGTACAGATTCATCCATTTGAATGTGGTTGAGATCGTCAGAAAATCAGCAACTTTGTGGCATGTGTTCACAGTTAAACCTCAGCTATGGCGTAAGCCTCTGCTAAATGTATCTTCTGTATGGCATTGCCTGATCAGGCTGTTTTTAGATTTGTCTGTTTTGGGATTGTTCTGAACGTGCCAATGCATTGTGGTGCGGTGGTAATAGTCTGGGGAATCACTTGGTGTCTGTGTGGCGGTCAGTGCTGGTCACTGAGATGCCAGATGGAGGCAGAATGCAGCTGTTTTAGGGATATTTACAGCAAATACCATCAGGAATACCCTAACATGGAAACAACGTCAGACACAGTAAGCAAAATGAGTTTATGAATACACATATAGGGGAAAACCCAATGTATAGGAAACATGTAACTGAGAAACCCTTCATTTTCAGAGGGTTATAAGAAATATGTAACTGAGAAACCCTTCAGTTTCAGAGGGTTATAAGAAACCTGTAACTGAGAAACCCTTCAGTTTCAGAGGGTTATAAGAAACCTGTAACTGAGAAACCCTTCAGTTTCAGAGGGTTATAAGAAACCTGTAACTGAGAAACCCTTCAGTTTCAGAGGGTTATAAGAAACATGTAACTGAGAAACGCCAGGTAGCCGGGCGGTTAAAAGCGTTGGGCCAGTAACTGAAAGGCCTGATCCGACTAGGTGAAATATCTGTTGCTGTGCCCTTGAGCAAGGCACTTAACCCTAATTGCTCCTGTAAGTCTGCTAAATTGTAACTGAGGGGAGAAACCCTTCAGTTTCAAAGGGTTATAAGAAACCTGTAACTGAGAAACCCTTCAGTTTCAGAGGTTATAAACCTGTAACTGAGAAACCTTTCATTTTCAGAGGGTTATAAACCTGTAACTGAGAAACCTTTCAGTTTCAGAGGGTTATAAACCTGTAACTGAGAAACCTTTCAGTTTCAGAGGGCTGTAACTGAGAAACCTTTCAGTTTCAGAGGGCTGTAACTGAGAAACGGTTCAGTTTCAGAGGGTTATAAACCTGTAACTGAGAAACGGTTCAGTGTTAGATGTTAATATTGGATTTTGTGCTGCAAAAGGGAATGAATGAAGCCAAGCTATACTAGATAAGCAGGGAAGCCCCTACCACTCTGACTCATGCTCTGACAGCGAGGGACAGAAAGAGACAAAGGGGTTACCCTGACCCTGCAGCAGGACAGGAGCCAGCTGTTTGCAACAAGTACCATGGAACCACATCACATGACCAGGAAACAATCGTTTCTAGAAGAGCTGATTCACACGGAGAGAGAGCGGAAGAGAGAGCTGGAAATGTTAACATCAGCGGGAAAAAGGGGGTTGAGGAAACCCCTCTGCAGAGGAACATAGTGGAAGACCGGAAACCATTAGGGCCAACTAGCGCCTCCGTCCTTCTGTTTGTCCGTCCCTCCGTGCATGGGGTCTCTCCACAGGAACTTCCTGTCCCCACAGCGGCTGCTGCTCTGCTAGCTAGGCTACACTACTACACCACACACACACATGCTGGTGAGGTTACACACAGGCCCTGTGTTCATCACAACAGAACAAGATACTGGAGGTCAATGGGGTTCCACTATGGTGCCCTACACTGAAAACTCCCAGTTGTCCCATGTGCAGTATCTGTCAGCTTGTATGCGCCACTAAATTTGGTTGGAAATATCACAAGTTAGTTATTTATCTGTAATTTTCATTGTAGGATTGTGAAACCACATTCTGGTTCAGATATAACCTGAACCTGAACAGGTCCTTGTGTTGTTGTTGTTGTTGTTGTTGTTGTTGTTGTTGTTGTTGCAGAGACCTACAAAGCTTGAATCCCAATAAGATCTTCTCACACCGCACCCCTCCTTTAGAGAGCAGAGATTTGACTGAAGGAAGAGAGATCACCAAGCAAGTAACATAATGAGTCTAGTCCCAGCTGGGCTCTGCCGAGCGCGAGGCGTAGAGCGTCCAATGAATTAGGATAACAAGTCGTTTTCATTGCTCCACAATGTTTACTAAAGAGCTTTGAGGCTTGGAATCAATTAAGATTGGCTTTCCTCAAGTCAATTAACTTTATGGTTGAGCTGGGCCTGCAGCTATGAAACCTGAGGAGGACAACGTCGTCGTCCCCCCGCTCTCCCTCCCCCCCTCCCTCCCTCCCTCCCTCCCTCCCTCCCTCCCTCCCTCCTCCCTCCCTCCCTCCTCTCCCCATCTTACTCCCCCTTGCTCTCTCTCTCTCTCTCCCCCTCCCCTCTCTCTCTCTCTATCTCTCTCTCCCTCTCTCTCTCTCTCCCTCTCTCTCTCTCTTCCAATCTTTGTCCCCCTTGCTCTCTCTGTCTATCTCTCGCTCTCTCTCTCTCACTCTCTCTCTCTCCCTCTCCCTCTCTCTCTCTCTCTCTCTCTCTCTCTCAGGAGAGTCCCTGAACACAGACTTTAGAGAACACCACTGACACAAACCAGTGGTAAAACCAGGCCTTCAGAAAAAAGATCTAAATGTCATGGCTATCATTATCATACAAAGGGAAAGGGGTGTCCAACGGATTTGAAAGCTCTCTGCCTTTTTGAATTCTAAACATCTGGTCCTGAGTTATGTCAGGGCTAAATGTGTTAGACATAGCTAGTCAACCAAGATAGATACAACATTGTAGGGGGACCACAACCTTTTGACTCACAGAAAAGGGAAGTGTGTGTGGGGACGGGGCACGGCACAATAGCACTGGTAACAATATCCAAACGTCTGGATGAGTAGGCTACATCATGAATGAAACCTAATGAACTTCATCAGGCATGCAGCTCAGTGAACCTGAAAACAACTGGCTTCTAAATGAGCTCTGATTTCTGATGTGGTGTTAGGTTCAGTCATCAAGCAACCGTCTATTTATAATACATTGGAATCTTTCCAGCGGTATTTTTCCGTACGAGGAATCCAAGCTGGTACAGAAAGGTGCTTCTTGTTTATTTTTGTTCCCTATTGTATAAGGTTGTATTTGACTGTAATCATTGCTAGTCGGTTATATTATCCCTGTACGTATGTTTTACCTTTCCTTAATGATTTTCACAATCAAATTGTCTTTTGTCTATTTTAAACGGATTAATTCATAGCAAAAACAATTCTTTAACAATAATTTTTTCATGAAGATTTTTTGTAATGAAGGAGAATCAAAACAAGTTTTCTGACTGACTGTTATTGGTTTGGAATGAAAACTGATTGTGAAACACTTTCCAGAAGTTGTGAGAAGTTATTGCAGCACACTGGCATAAAACGAATCTTCACCTGCGTTCATTTTTATATCAAAGTAATCTGTTGTTATTAGCGCACACACACGCACACACACACGCACACACATGCACACGCACACACACACACACACACACGCACACGCACTTTGTAGTTCAACTGGAACAACCTCCCAAGACTTTTTAATACGCAGAGAAGTAGTGTGTGAGATACCACCTTGGCCTCCACCTTCAGACATGAAAAGTAAAGGAAGACTGTTTCCCTTGTTTGAAGTTTGTAACATGCCATTCCAGACTTATGACATACTTATTTTTCAAGCGTAGTAGAATATCAGAGGTGACATTTTTTCCTTTTTATTTCTCTAAATGCAGAGTTGGTCTGTTGAGGTCAAATGACTTTGTGGATATTAAGTGCATAGTGGAGTGAGGAGCACATAAAAAAGAAAGGGTTGTGTATTTATTTTTTTCCCTCATAGAAGAAGGAACTGGTTTATCAGTAGGTATGCGGCTCAGCAAAGTGAAACTTGGTGCAACACGAAGGGAAGAGCGGTGAAGAAAATGACTCAGAGCTTTTTGTTCACATGTAGTTTAAGATACATGTTTATGTTCACACCTCTGGGCCGGGCCAGGCTGCAGCATCTTGTGGTCAGCCTATTGCTAGAAGGGAAGTTCACTACTGAAATAGAACCAAACGTTTTCATCAGTCTCACGCTAGGCTGTAGGGTACACTATGAGAATAGATCAGGCTTTGACTTGCTTTGTTTTTTCATGGAATATGATCTTATGTTTATTGCAAAATATATAGAAACATTTAATTATGTGTGTTCTTTATTTATCCATACAAAACCAGCTGGTCCCTATAGGATCCCTAACCTTTAGATGAATGGAGAACCATGTTGTTTTTCAAGTCTCTAGTACACCACTGCCTGTTTAAACATGATGAGCTACATTTACGCTGTGGACTATTAGGTGCTTGAAGAGTGATTCACCGATGACTCCATCATGTGTGAACTGAAATCCTCTTCCTTCCTGTTACAACTTCAGTTGTAGTGAGATCTCTGCTCAACTTAAGTTGGGCCAAAAACCTGGAAGGTATGGAATATTTCTCCATTCTTATTGGTGGGCAGGGCCAACGCTTTAATAATAAACACATCTTACAGAGTGAGTGTGGCTTTAAGTGAATGGAATTCACTTAATATTCACCATAGAATGACATATAGACCTCATGCTAATAGAATATGATTGATAGGATCTTTGTTTGGTCAACACTCCTACTGTACACTGCTTTCCATCTACCAGTAGATAAGACAACGCTAGCCACTGTTATCCTGCTGCCCATGGTGTGTTGGTGTCGGAGTGGGGAAGTGGAGGTCCGGGTCACAATAACTAACGACCAGTGGTTCTTGTCATGTTTTCATTGGCCAGGATTTGACCTTGTGACCCCTGGCTGCTTCAGCCACATTTCCTGTATTATTGTTGATGATTAGATTGCATTTACACAGTCAGGGAGATAAGGAGGAGGGAGGGAGGTCCACCCTGAGACCAGACCAGGGGAGGGAGGTTCACCCTGAGACCAGACCAGGGGAGGGAGGTCCACCCTGAGACCCAGACCAGGGAGGGAGGTTCACCCTGAGAACCAGACCAGGGGAGGGAGGTCCACCCTGAGACCAGACCAGGGGAGGGAGGTCCACCCTGAGACCAGACCAGGGGAGGGAGGTTCACCCTGAGACCAGACCAGGGGAGGGAGGTCCACCCTGAGACCAGACCAGGGGAGGGAGGTTCACCCTGAGACCAGACCAGGGGAGGGAGGTTCACCCTGAGACCAGACCAGGGGAGGGAGGTCCACCCTGAGACCAGACCAGGGGAGGGAGGTTCACCCTGAGACCAGACCAGGGGAGGGAGGTCCACCCTGAGACCAGACCAGGGGAGGGAGGTTCACACCTAAGACCAGACCAGGGGAGGGAGGTCCACCTGAGACCAGACCAGGGGAGGGAGGTTTCACCCTGAGACCAGACCAGGGGAGGGAGTTCCACCCATGGTCACCCGAGACCAGGACCCAGGGGAGGAGGTCACATGAGACCCAGACCAGGGGAGGGAGGCCACCCTGAGACCGACCAGGGAGGGAGGGTTCAACTGAGACCCCCGAACAGGGGAGAGGGAGGTTCAACCGAGACCAGACCGGGAAAAGGAACGAACTGCCACAGAATGTCGGTGACCAAATAGCACGTATGTCCTATATATGGGCACTACTTTTGAGCTGAGCCCTAAATTAGGGTTGATTTGACCTCCTGACCCTCCCTGCCCATGCCATGACCTCACCATCTGCTGGGCAGCAGGGACAGGATGTGGAGCCACTGGGTTGTGTGACCTGACCTTGAATGTTACAGTAGAGAGTAACATGAGAGAAGCAGACTGTGGGCGAGAGAGAGAGAAGAGAGAGAGAGAGACCGATCGAGAGAGAAGGAAGAGAGAGTGACTGACTGCACGACGGAGATGGGAGAGATTTTCTTTTTTTTTGTCGGAGAGAGGGAGACGGATCTTTGCAGAGAGAGAGGAGAGAGAGAGGGATGAGGAAAAGGGAGAGAGAGAGAGAATGCGAGAGAGATTGGGAGCCAAAAATAGGAGGGAGGGGGTGAGGGAGAGAGAGGGAGGGAGACCTTCCCCACACCCTACCTGAAGAGAGAGGGAGATGGTAGAGAGGAAAAGGGGACGAGAGAGAGCAGAGTTGATGAGAGAGAGAGGAGGAGATGAGATTGATGAGAGAGAGGAAAAGTGGGGGAGTATGAGATGCTGCGAGGGGGTTTTTGTTAGAGGAAAAAGGAGGGAGAGGGACGCGGAGCTGAGAGATGAGAGAGGGAGATGGGAGGAGGAGAGAGGGGTAGAGAGAGGTAGAGAGGGAGAGAGAGAACGCGAGAGGGGTGGAGGGTGCGGCAAATAAAACGGTTGGGTGGGAGAGACCTTAGCCCCCAGTTCACCCAGGAGGGAGAGAGCACGGTTTGGAAGAAAAAGAACGGAGAGGCGAATAGAGAGGGCAGGGAGAGACGAGGGAGAGAGAGACGCGACGGACCATCAGAGAGAGATGAAGAAGTAGGAAGGATGAGAGGAGGAGAGTGAGAGAGAGAGAGAGGAGAGGTGGAGAGAGATGGGAGGGAGGTGATGATGAGAGAGAGAGAGAGATGAAAAGTGGCGGAGAGAGGAGAGGCGAGGTATAGAGCAACAGGCAGGAGAGGGAGAGAGCTCAGAGAGGGACGAGGGTGAGCAAGCTACAGACAAAGGAGGTGAGAGAGACCGCAGAACTTGACGTCTCTCTGCAGAGAAGAAGAGGGATGCGGATAGAGAGATCAGAGAGGCGTCGCTATATGAGTAAGAGGAAGAAGATGAGTTGAGAGAGAAGATGGAGGGACCGGATGACGAGAGTGTGTTGAGAGAAAAAGGGAAGGGTAGAGGGATGGAGAGAGTATAGAGATCAGAGGCTGAGAGAGAGAGGAGAGAGGGATTGGACGAGTGGCTAGAGAGGGGAGACTGCGCCGTTAGATGAGCATTGCGGGAGAGAGACCGGGTATTTTTTCATTTGTGGGAGAGGAGGAGAAGATGGGAATGGATGGTATGAGGAGAGGAAGAGGATGTCTATAGGGCAATTGAAGAATTACAGCATGAGATCATGTGTATTGCAAGTGGGTTTAATAGTGTGTTGGAGTTGTGAGAGAGGAGACGCCCAGGTTTGTTTCCCTCTCATTCCAGCAGGTCATTCTGCCAGGGGCACAACCTGGATGCTCCATGCACTGTCAGTAACACACACACATATACACACAACAACACACACACAGACTCACTAGCTCCAGGAACACTGGCCCCTACCAAGCAGGAAGAGACTGGAAAGAGAGGAAAAGCAGGAGGGATGGAGGAGAGGAGAGAGATTGCATGATGAGGAGTGATAAGGAGGTGTGAGGATGGGGGGATATAGGAAGGATGGAGGAGAGGAAGAGGGAGATTGACAGGAGGAGAGGAAGAGAGGTCTCTGATGATGATGGTGGAGAGGTAGAGATGGAATTACTGTAACTGTCTGACTTTAACCTGGGTGAATTCTACAGTAGGGAGAAGGAAGTATCAGACGGAGAAAGGAAATGAGAGGAGGAGGAGAGCAGAGAGATAGTAGAGAGGAGATGTAAGAGAAGAGAAAAGAGGGA